TTCCTCGTTTCGTGAGAACATGAATATCAGCTGTTTAGTTACATAGGAATCTCTCTCTCTCTCTCTCTCTCTCTCACCCAAGCACGTTTTAACAAGGGTCTAGAGGAATATATGTTACCCCTGAGCGAATCAAGAAGTTGCTTCAGTAAGTGGAACTATGAGAAGCGAGAGAGACTTTGAATCCGTCCACCTGTCTCCAAGGTTCAAAAAAATATTACCGGAGCTTCTTACACCTGACATTATTTATCCCCCTCACACTGACACACCGAGACAATATATATATGCAACAAAGATATTTTTGTATACATGGACAGATTTCAAAACGTAATACAAAATATATATGGCTATTGGCTCGTATCATTTATTTTTGTAATCAGTTAAATCTGAGTAGAAATAATACGTAGGCACTTGGACCTTGACAGCCTTGTGTACTGTAACAGTTTACAATTTCGACATCAAAATTAACATATGACTTGGTGGATCTGATGTCTAAAGCTAAATTGAATGTGCTTGACAATAGAGTGAACACGCTGGTAGTCTCTAGACGTGACAGGCACCAGAGTTAAGCTCAGTGGAAATCTTAAGAATTTCTGGTCATCCCTCATGGTGGGGTGTACGCAGTAGAACACAGTTGTAATGATAAACCCTGTAAGACCACTATCAGAAGCTCCTTTGCCACAGATGTCAGTTTTTGGTCCAAAGTTATGGAACATTTTGTAGTATTTTATTTATCATTGCTGCCACCTGTAGTTGTCTATTCAAAAGACAGACTTTTCACCCATTCCTGCCCACGAGAGGATAGTCAACACACTTAGTAGCAATTAATATTTAACCCAGAAAACGCTCATAACGACGAGACTGTAAAAGTCATGCAAAACAGACAACATTTTCCAAGAGAAGTATCCCATCTTCAGCATAATTCAATTACTTGAGTAAATCCTCACAAGGACTTTGGGATCGAGCGACATATGGAGAGCATCACTGTACCTACATGACATGAGTGAGAGCCTCAGCTATGGTAGCGGATACGTCCCATGAACACAAGAGGTTCTATGACTCTTTTAAAAGACTCAGGTTAACTTGTCCTTCTCATTAGCATGGATATCCAATACACGCATCTACAGTATTTACGCTAACTGAACATCGTGAAAGGTGGGGTGAAAGCTTGTTGAGAGAGAGAGAGAGAGAGAGAGAGAGAGAGAGAGAGAGAGAGAGAGAGAGAGAGAGAGAGAGAGAGAGAGAGAGAGAGAGAGAGAGAGAGAGAGAGAGAGAGAGAGAGACAGAGACAGAGACAGAGACAGAGACAGAGACAGAGACAGAGAGAGAGAGAGAGAGCTCTTAGCCTCCCAACAAAGAGCCAGAACATAATGTCCCGCACCTAACTAGACTCCTTCTGTCACTTGAATGATACTTCGCTCTCAAAGGTCTTAGGGGAGGTGCCGAGGTCGAACACCACCCAACACCAATGGACAAATACCACGATATTATCTTAATTGCAGAGTCTGGAACTTAATAATTTCTCGAACAATAAATTTTTTCATTGATCTAAGATTAACGATGAACTTATTACTTCATGAGCCATTCTTGCGAGCTACCCATACTCATTCTAGCTCTTTATTTCTTTATTTTGTTTTTGTAATGTAAGAGTGATGTTGAAAGGTGGAGACTAAATCAGAGGGAGAGACAAGCAGAGACAAGTACCCACAAAGAACAAGAAAACAGACTTATAGGAGTGGAGAGACAGAGAGACAGAGAGAGAGAGAGAGAGAGAGACAGACAGACAGACAGACAGACAGACAGACAGACAGACAGACAGTTATAAGAAGAGATAAAAAGACGCAGATGAAAACAGACGCACGAATCGTAAACAATATATCGATTACGAAAACTCTCACAGACATTCAACAGGAAAAAAAAAGTTAAGTTTATACAGTATTTCCTATTTCCCCTTTGAAGAGTTGGTAATAAACAGAGCACTCATTCACGGGGTGTTGAACCTCAATAAGAGGCTGTAAGCGGGGAGAACCTGGCCGAGCAGAGACACAACCCTGGCGACGTCTCCGTCAGGGCGAGGACCTGAGTATTTGTCCCGTCCTGATATGAAATCTTACATTGTGCTCGTCCTGTGTAAAAGCTGAGAGGACGACTCTGACCCCTTTCATGAACGACAATGGAATGGGCTGTTGGGGGCGTTAGCGAGCTGTGGGAGGCCATCCTTTACAGTCGAAAATCCCCGGGCGTCATAGTATACAGAGGATCCCCAGTGAAGATGATATTGCCGCCCCATCGTGGCTCAGACGGCAGAATGGGAGATTACTCGTGAGAGCCGAAACTCGTGTTATTATTCAGGTGAGGCGAATGTTCTATCTGGCGGGCGGTGTAACTGGTGACGGCAGAGAGGCGATATTATTGAGGCCTCAGTCGAGCTCCAATATGCCGGCCAGTTCCAGCCTGTACGTTATTCATCCGCCAGTCTAGAGTGAGTGTGAGAATACATAGTTACTAGCTCGGAGATAATGACCTACAGTATTACGTTTTTGTGAACTTTTTGTTCTTTTTCCTTCACCTGCATTGTTAGGTACTATTGTCCTCTGTTCTATTCAAAGGGAGCAGTATTCTCGGCAGCGCATCTTAGTCATGATATACATTAACAGAAGCTACAGTTTTGCTCAAGATCTTCCCAATGTTTCGTTGTTAGCAGTAACGAGAAATTATGTCCCGAAATCTTGAGGAAACTCGCTGAAATTGTTGCATGATATTTTCCCGTTCCACGTCTCATGCAGATATCTAAAGCAGTGGAGGTATCCAGCCCTATCTTACTACCCCTCCTCCTCCCTTCTCTTTCTTCCTTCTCTCTCTCCTCCTCCCTCTTTCCTCTAGCCTGCTCCCTCTTACCCCTCCTCTCTCATAGCCCCCAACTGAGGGCTGCCATACTGAGCCACCACCTCATCATATACCTCGCTTGCCTACACAGATATTCCTTTCCCCCCCAACTCTCTCTCTCTCACCGATATGTGATACCCTGCGTCATCTCACTGTAAGAAAATTCTAATCTCGTATTGTCGTATGTATTACTGTGTGTGTGTTTGTTGTACCATAGTTAAAATCTTTTACAACGTGATTATGTGTTATATTACAATGTTAAACTTCCCTATTTAACGCTGTTTCAGACTGTGAATTTATAATAATGTGTCATTTTATTGTTGTTATTATTATTATTATTATTATTATTATTATTATTATTATTATTATTATTTAGTAGTAGTAGTAGTAGTTTGTGAAATTATAAAATTATTTTTTTGTCGTTTCGGTGGGTATATACGGTACATCTCGTCCTGGTATATACGGTACATCTCGTCCTGGTATATACGGTACATCTCGTCCTGGTATATACGGTACATCTCGTCCTGGTATATACGGTACATCTCGTCCTGGTATATACGATACATCTCGTCCTGGTATATACGGTACATCTCGTCCTGGTATATACGGTACATCTCGTCCTGGTATATACGGTACATCTCGTCCTGGTATATACGGTACATCTCCTGGTATATACGATACATCTCGTCCTGGTATATACGGTACATCTCGTCCTGGTATATACGATACATCTCGTCCTGGTATATACGGTACATCTCGTCCTGGTATATACGGTACATCTCGTCCTGGTATATACGGTACATCTCGTCCTGGTATATACGGTACATCTAGTCTTGGTTCGCTGACTCTTTGTTTACGATGGAAAGGAGTGAGAAAATTAAGACAAGGAAACGAGGAAGTGGGAGAGATACAATAGGAAGTGGGATGGAGATAATAATGAATAGGAGAAAGTAAGAAAGAGAGAAAGAGAGAGAGAGGAAGAGAGAGAGAAGAGGGGTGTGAGGAAGGAAGAGAATTAAAGCCAAGACCTGTCTCCTATCTCCTGCTGGACTGGTTGGTCGACATAAAGGCAGTCCTTCACTGATTCCGTTACGACCTCCCCTGCCTAATGCCCGCGCCCGTCTCTCTCCTGCAACACCCAGAGGAACGAAGGAAGGTAGTGGGGCTTTGTGGCCTTCCCTTCGTTATAATATCAACAATACCTCCCCAGCAATAACCACAGGAGGCTTTGAAGGAGAAATTATCTTATGCTCAGTCGTTGTTTACTGTCTCAATGGCCTTGTGGGTGGTTTATCCCTCCGCTCGAGTAACAGGAATATTATATAAATATATATATTTTTTTAAAGAAGATTGGATAACAAAAATGAAACCGTGATTCTTCTTCTTCTTCTTCTTCTTCTTTGTCGATGCTTCAAAGGCGTGACTTCCAATCTCATGTCTAAGGTTAAAGCACAAACCACATCTATGTTTACGTATGACACTTGTTGACTCGCAAGTAATTTAAACATGTAAAGTATTTCGGATACTTTAGAATACTTAAATGACTTAGTCTCCCATGTTTACAGTAATTACCTTAGCCTATAAATTACCTTCCACTTACTCATAATTTGTACAGCATAAATAAGATACAAGTCGTGATGAAAGACGAGCTCGGAGAATATTGTGTTGTGATGAAAGTGATGAACGTGACAAGGATGAATATATAGTGACAAGTGTGAGAAGGACAGGTGAAAATCTACTTGAAAGAAGCCATAATAAGAAGAAAAAGAATGAACGATAGCAAAGGGAGCGGAAGAAAGAGATGAAACATTGAGATGAGAGTGGTGTAAACATCCCAGTGTGTGTGTAATTGGAAAATCGTATAACAACAATGATAAACTAGGTCAGTGCTATTCAAACTCTCTCTCTCATCGGTTTCCGAAGGGTTATTGGCTATACGGACATTAAATAGTTTAACAGTGGCTTGAGGTACAAGTCTGTGATTGATCTAATTTCGTCCAAGGAAAATAATCTTTGTTAACTGCTGTGAACTCTACCTCTCTTAATACGCTTCACCTATCCACCATTAACAACCATTCAAGTAAAATAAAAGATAATTAGTTTTATATTTACCCACAAACATTTATTCATACACATATAACATATAAGAAGCTTTAGGTATAGACCCTTCTGTTGTGACTATGGCTAACATGATAATCTTCTTACATAATAGTCATCTACTAGACAGAGGTAAACACGACATTTACAATATCGGGTGAAATGTAAAAGACAAAGAATTTTAAGGTTAGATAAAACATACTGTGGTAGATATTTTTTTCAAGTTAAAATAAACATAGAATACAAGTTTACTGTGTATTAATATGAGGTACATTTTTCATTATAAACCATAAGTAAAAGCATATAATTAAGTAATAATAAATCAACATCCACAAAAGTTTCTAATTTCGGTTAACACAAAATTGTCTCTCTCTCTCTCTCTCTCTCTTTTTTTTTGGGGGGGGGGGATAGTGTTGTCTTCACTGTTAAAAAAATCAAACTCGTATTTAACACTATTTTGTATTTTTCTTCAAATGTTTTATTATAGTATCGACAAATTTACACTTACCTTAATCAGCTCTTTTCTCTCATAAAAAGTCAAGGCGTATCAGTTCCTTTATTCTTCCACATCTTGTACTACATAATATGAAGAATATTTTTGTTTCTCCTTGGTAGAGTGAGATGGCTGTTAGTGATAGTCTCATTCCTGAATTTGACGGTAACCAATGGTAAGGGAGAGGTGAGGATGCTGGCCATGATAATTTCCCTCTCGTCACACTCGTCGGCCAGCTCACACACACTCTCAACCACCAGGCGACATCTAGAATTCTTTTCCTGAAACTCAACGAAGAAGTCGATGAAGGCTTCGGGCGACAGAACAAATTCAGTGAAGGTCAAGCTTTGCAAATGTTGTACTGGTATGGCTTGGTCTAGTATGAACATATAATTCTCCCTATATAAAACACAAGCTCGTGTTTCTCCATCTTCTGAATAACTTGACATGCCGGATATTGTGACATGTTCTAAGGACTGAGGAAAGAGAGGAAAGCTGAAACGTCTACCTATTACAGAGTTGTAAAGTTTTAATGATTTTATATTTGATGGTGAACTTGTCAGGTTCGTGATTGTGCAAGAATCTATCACAAGATTTTCAACATTAGGGAAGCTCAGCTTTTCTAAGTCCATGCTCTGTAACTTCAGTGTTTTGAGACTTGGGGGAAACCTAATATTTCTTAAACCAGTGCAGTCCATCACATTTAATTTCAGTAACCCACTAGGAAGGGAGAAGTCAACCTTAATATCGCATCGTTCAAGTGAAAGCCACCAGAGCGACGTGGGCCAGGAGAGAGCAGCAGACACTGTCACATCAGTCAGCCTCAGTTCAGCGAGATCATCGTCAACATAGGCTTTGCTTACTAACTCCATTGCTATGACAGGGTTTCCCTCCATCGCCTGGTGACCACGCACAGAGTTATGCTTGTCTGCATGGGGACCTTCACACAGTCTAAGCCAGAGCCGCACTGGCTTGGCGTGTGAGAGTAAATGAAGGAGGGCTTGACTGCGTCTTACTTCTTTCGGCCGCAACCATAACTGCCCATAGCGTTGGTATCTACTAGGTTTCTTTAAAGTTGTTACACTCTCTGTTGGGTATTCAGGAATGTTTTGACTTATACACTTGATCAATGTAGAATTATAGTGACTTTCTTCAATGAGCTCCAAGTAATAGTTGATATCAAAATATCTCGTATAATGTTTACAAATCTGGACCAACTCTTCTTGTATGATATTAAGCTGCAAGACACTTTTCCCCTGATAAAGGAGACTTACAAGAAAAGATATTACAGACTTCTTTCGGTCTTCTTTGATATTATTGAAAAGTTTTTTCAGTGTGACTTTCTTATCTTTCTGAAGAGTTTCATACATATAATGAGAGACAAGAAAGTTTGCATGTGAATCATGAAGGAACTGAAAAGTAACGTATTCTCCTTCGGCCTTTTGAGAACTGTCACACTGCATAAGACTAGAAAGGGCTTCCCGGGGGCGAAATCTAAGCATTTTGGCTTCTTCATATAACTTTTTAATTTCAGGTGAACTTTCGTTAAATGACGTTTCGTCATGTTTTGCTTGTGAATACGCAAGTTGAGACACCATGTAGAGCCACTGTTGTCCTTCTTGAGGCAATTCTGTAGCGAGGATCCTCTTACCGTGTATATGACACAGCTTCCTGAGCATAAAGTCTGTTATGCTATCAAAGATCATTCCTCGAGTTGACAGATGATATGTTTTTTTGTCTAACCAGAACCAGCAAGACCAACACAGTAACTGAGGAATTGTAACAAGTTCCTCATACTTTGAGAAAGAGTTCCAGAACTCATGAAAATCAGTATCCCCCTTCGTATTTGCTTTGAACAATTTTTTTACATACGCCTCAGAACAGGACTTGTTGAAACCATGGGCTGTGACAACAACAGCTTCATCCAGATAAGAATTTTTAATGGTCTGTGTGCAGTGTGGTCGTGATGTAACAAGGAAGTATGCATCAGGGAATGTCCTTTTCAGCTCTTTAAAGGCATTCGCAAAATCTTGGAGTCGCTCATCAAAAGCGTCTATCATGAACATGACAGTATTTTCAGCTTTTGTTAACTCATTTCTCATCATGTTGAAATTATAATTTGCTTTGGATTTGGGGAGGATTTCTTGAAACATGTCAGAGAGGGCGAAGGCGTTGTTGCCCACAACTGTACAGTCGAAGAATATTAGATAATCAATGGAGGTAAGAGCTGGGATGGGAGACGAGGCTTTAGGTCTCCAGTTGGCAGCATAGTGGCGCAGCAACGAGGTCTTCCCAGTGCCGGACTCTCCCTGCAGTATTATCGCTCTCAACGATCCGCTTTTCCGATAGATGTCTTCACCATCTACTTCCTCCTCAATGCTGTCAATAAATAAGTTTAATAGTAACTGGAAATACTGATTGTCTCGTGTTAAAAAACGCATAAATCATTGTATAAATGAGTTAGCTATATCTTGTCTAAGATTTTCATGTGTGCACCTTAATGTTGCACATTGAATTCTCCAAATTAGTATTTGGGAAAACGAAGCACAAACACGTTGACGCATTTATTAATATCTATTTTAGTCGATGGTAGAAAAAATGTAAAATCGTTTTATAGGCGAAGGGATACCTGTACTTCATATTACACTGGCGACTCGCATATTTGAATGCATTTTTATTTCCCTATATGAAATTACAAGTTATGAAATATTACTGATATTTATGCTCACCCGTCATGGAGGACGGTCAGCCTGGTCTTGGTGTAGGTCTTGTTCACGTGTTGGTGGAAACTTAAGTTCTTCCCTCCCCACACGAGGGGCATCAGCGTCGTCTTGCTCCCACTCCTGTACAACTCTTCCAGCTCATTCTGGAGGCCCTCTGGGAATAATAACACTCAATCACAACAAAATTCAGGTTAAATAGTGTTACGCATCGCGACAAATTAATTTAACTTGTAATAATTTTGTTTTCACAGGATGCAAATAGAAATAGAAATGCGACACATACTGTACAGGGATGCAGGTAACTGGTGGCTCGAAATCTACGATAATACATGAGGCACTTATCAAGATACTTAAAGTTGAACTTCTTAAGTAGGCTCACTTAGGTTAATGTGGATACAGCTAATTAAATAGCAAAGCCTTTGGTACACAGGGAGGCGGTGCGGCAATTGTCTAAGAACTAGTACCTGCACAGTCCTGGAAAGAATGTTGTGTGAGAGAACAGTTACACAACCTTTCTTCTTCGTGTAAACAATGTGATATTGTTACAAGGATTCGAGGACAATGCGGATCAGCTTTTGGGATAGAATCTGTGTAGTTTATGTTGGATAACAGGTGACATGTTATCAGAACTATTGTCACATCTGGGTAACAATGTAACAGTTACAACAAGAAGTCATCCACCCGCAACGTAATTGCTACCTACCCCGGACCTGTTGCAGTTTGGACGTGGACAGAAGATAAGGCTTTTGTATCTCACACAACTCCTGCTCCACTTCACGAAGGTGATCTTTAAGGCCAGCGTGGTCGAGGACATTAGTGACTGCGGTGCACATTTGTTTCCAAGCGTCCTCCAGATCCTGATCAGAACATCCTTCCTGCGTCCCGTGAGCATCCTTGTTCCGCAGGTCCTTTAGCTTCTGAATGTTGCCTGTAATAATGGGTGTACTTATGTGCCCGTGATTCTTGCCTTTGATAAGATGAGCAACTTTCGGAAGATTTCTATTTAATCAAGTCAGAAGAAGGCAAACACTGGAAGACACTTATGCTTGTGAAAATGAATTATTGACAATTATTATGTGTTAAAATCAGCAGACATCATCTTCGCTCCCTAACATCCTTGTGGAGTGAATGAATCTAAAATACTCACCTTCTATCCTTTGGGGGTTGTTCCAGACTTTACTGTTACGTGAAAGTCCACACGTGTGCTTCAGTAGGAAACACAGGGTTGTTATGTCGAATTTTTCCTCTTGGTTTGCTTCTATTATTTTTTTTTGTTCAGCATGTATCGCATTGTTCAAAGCACATTTTTTCACTGCCTCGTGAGGTTTTTTTCCAGGATTTGTCAACGGAAACCTGAGGAAAGTACTTTAATTATAACAGGAATTTGTATTCAGGGATATATTCAATAGTCTCACTGATGATCTCTGTCAAACGAAACAACTAACTGGGAGTATCTCACTTAACCTCAGTGTTTGAGTTAAGGGAGTAGTATTTATGTGCTGACCAGACTACCGAATTACTGTATTTGTGGATATAATGTTGCAATGAATGTTTTTTCTTCTTTAAATTTATGTCATTGAATTCTAGTAAATCCGTCAATGCACAACACTGTATTAGGGGTTATTATGTAATTTGGTGCCTGAAAAGAATCACTTCCTTTGATCTTTGTGAGTCAAGCAACTATTAATTAAGTGTACGTCATTGTAAATTGTCTTCCAGTGTCACATCTTATAAATAAGAATTCAGTAGCTCCCATGTAGTATCTTTGAGCCGTGCTGTGCCGTCTTGACTAGTAACGTTATCAACATAACCACCAATGAACTTGTTTGCTCGTGACACTTCACAAAAAAAAATATTAGATAAAACCTATAGTGATATCGGTAAAGAAAGTAGTATTTGTGTATATACAGTGATCACATAGACAACCTGTAGGACACTTAGAATGTGATTTATTCATTTTCTGCACCTCCCTTCTACACCCGTACACGTGCTGCTAAACAGGTTTTTTTTCGGGGAATGGCAGGAAAACCAGCTTTTTGAAATGAGACAGATTGTATGAGTATGGAAACACAGAAAAAGGCAGATCAGTCCACAGTTTGGCTGTGTGAGGAAAGATGGCTGTACTATCACGAGTTATTCTAGTGTGACCGACATCCACAGAGAAACGGTAGGCACCGCGGGCAAGACGAGTGTTACGAGCCTACGGCCTTGCCGGCTGTACACAGGATGCCAAAATCCACCGAATATTGCCCGTTAAAGTACCTGTAAAAGAGAGAGAGTGAAGCAACATTGCGGCGAAGAGAAAGGGAAGGAAGAGTCTACTTACTTTTTCTTATAAACGAGAAACAGCACTTTTCTGACTGTGGTCTTGAGAGCTTGACTAATGACGAACCGCAAACTATCGTCAGCGGTGACTGCAGCCATCGTTTTAGGTATAATTTAGCAGCAACAGAGATCGTGGTGATCCAAAGATATTGGACAAGTTACCTGTAAAAATATGAAGTCTTACCTTTAAACAGCACGGCGAAAAGTATAATGTAAATTAGAAATTATATTTGCAAATAAATGTACAGTGTTTTCCTGTTTCATTACAATACTATACACTTTTGGCCTGGGGCGAATGTATAGTCATATGGTTTTGTGTTTTAGATGCTTCAGCTACCTGAGATACACCGTTTGTTCTACTGTGATACTAGAAGGATTCGTCTACTGACTCAACCATGAGGGAGAGAGAGAGAGGGTTTCTAGGGTTGCAGGAGGAGCTTGAACTTCCTCATGAGTATCTCTGATCATCCGTCTTGTATTAATGTAATAGTAACTGATAAAGTTTTTAGAATATTTAATTCTTAAATAACAGTTTTTTAAAAGTTTTTTATTGTTCATGTTATGGGAGTTTCTTCAGAATTCGCATTTTCTATAATGTTTTGTCGATTAATAATATATAGTAATATACTGTAGTTTACTGTATCTTTGTTGCACCTCTGACGCATGGGTGTGCAGCCCTGTGGTTATAACACTCGCTTTCTGACTCAACTGGCCAACGACAGACAGACAGACAAATTAATTTGGTTCAGACTTTTACAAAGTATTGAGCACAGCTCCTTATCACAACACTTTCATTTCATAATAACAATTATAATGATTTCAGTAATTTCTCATATATGATGGTATGAATTACCGTATCTCATTATCTACCTAAACATATATATTACAAACTTCACTAACACAGTCTGGTTACGACGGATGGTTCTTACATTAGTCTGTTGTATTAATTTACCCAATTTCAAACGACTTGGATGACTTCTACAAAATCGTGGTATATACTTGCATGTTTTCCTTGACATCTTGATTATTACACTATAGAATAAGATACTATATATATCTCCAATAACATTATAACCACATTTAATACAAATTCTCACTTCTCTTGGAATATTTTGATATCTACCAGTTACAATGGGTAATCTTGTATTGTTAGCTCTAAATTTACACAAGATAGATCTGAGTTTTTTTTGGTGACCTTATTAAATATTCTTCTAACTTGAAAATACTTTTATATAAGTGGCATAGCTACTACATAATGATGTACTATTTAGGTTAGCATGCAAGTGAGTAATCCACAGATCTTTCAAATTTCTTTCAACAGCATTTTTTAACCATAGTAAATTGTTGGTTTTGCATCATCCATATGCCTGACATCCGCAATTATTTACTATACTGACTGCTTGTGTACCGAAGGCTTAGTTTTCACTGGGACCCACTTGTACTCTCACCTCAAATGTAATGCTCCCTCTGGAAACTCCCAGTAAGGGGGTGGCCGCATGGACAAGAAGGCCAGATTTACTCTTTCGTTCGCCTAATGTTGCTGATCTTAATGACAAAGTTTAAACAAGAGAGCGATAATACCGGGAAGGTCACAACTGGTCTTAATTTTTTTCGAACAAGCAAAAAGTCACCAGATCACACCATTATCTTCACGTCTTAAGGGAACATCTCTCATGTACTAACACATCCACCCCCCATTTGCAAGAGGCTGGGTGTCTCCCCATTGTTTTTTTTACCCCTCTAGTCTATCGTTCTGTCTAAACAATATATATTTAAACCCTCTGAACCCATTCTGTTCTCCCACATCCATGTGTTGATGACCTGTTTGACTTCTGAGAACTGATAAGTGTTTGCAGATAACTCTAACTTCTCGATAAGATATACTGATATGACTCTGTGAGGAACACGTATTGAACAGGTAACAATGTAAAATAGCGACACGTCACAACCACATATGACACAACTTGAACATCACTACAAGAGTATGAGGAAGAATTCATCACGAGCTCAAACAAATATTCAAACGTTATTGTTATCCTGGTGGTGTGGGGAGGAACAGATATCAAGGCAGTTAAACTCTCCTGCACATTATTCTCCACTAGATGAAAAGAATGAAGATGATATTGAACCGATCTAATTCCTCTGGTGTCCTACGGAGGTACTGTCTTTAGCGGCTCTACCTACAGTGGACGAGAGCTCTTCTCTTCATTTTATGTCATCTTAGGCTGCGACTCCATCTAGATTCTAGAGCATAAAACTGAAGAGGAAACAGATGTGGTAGAATGCCTGGCAAAGGGTTCCGAAGTTCTTCAGAACCGTAGATCAGCTGTTTGTGGAAACCAAGCTGTCCTGGAATGGTTGGTCTGTAGCCCACACCACTCTGGGGGGTTAGGGAGCGGTGCAAGAGTGGGGTGAGAGTTGGCAAGCGTAACTTGGACCGCCAGCATGTAGAAAGTGTCCACATATTACTTTTCCCAGAGTGAAACTAACCAACCTAACTGTGTTAATGATGTTATTTGGTAACTTTTTCCACGGTTTCTGTACCAGTATTTACCATTTACCTCCTGACACGAATAGTGACGGTCTGATTATAAGTATGTCACCACGAAGACCGGAACTCACCCGAGAGCAGCGAGCACTTTCAAACACACCAATGAGCTGCTGAATGCGCACTGAATTAGCAAATTTCCACCTTTCTGTAATCTTGATTTGGTTATCAGGAGAAAACCACTGATTAGATCTGTGGTGGCGTTCTATTTGTTACTGCTGTTTATAAAATTGATGAGAACAGATAGGACTGAAGTGTAACGATAACAGGAGGCACTGATGATATGTTATGACTGCGCTTCAACATCTAAGGTTTTTAAGCGTGTAAGAAGGTCAGTAATTGCACTATTCCATCAACAATTAAATATTATGAGAGATTCTGTAGAACTCTCTCTATTATATGGACGGGAGATGTCTATTGCTAGGGGCAAAATATATCCCCAAGAAAGACAACGTGAGAGAAGATGTTATTGACAGTAAGGTTACAAGTATGGATACGCGTCATCATTACACACAACTTGGGAACACTGTTAATCACCCAGGCCCTCGGCAGCTCTCATGTGAATAAGTTGTCCCAAATAATTAGTTTGTACTAATACTGTTTTATAAAGATAAAAATAAATATCAATCAAGATATGTTTGTCAACACTCAACAATCTTTATAAAATTAACGATTTATCAAAGTATATTACCTGTTCGGCTTGTTGGTTTCTTCGCGTTATACAGCCCACAATTTCCATCCACCGTTTATGAAAATCTCGCTACTGTTTGTCCTGTGTAGTAGTGAAAGCACTGGAATTTAATGGTAAAAAACGGTCGAAAGTTAAGGTCAATATTTATCGACTAATATCACTCATCTAGTAAACTTGTAAAATTATTCAGAGATCGTTACAAAATACCACACGTGTAAGATATCACATGTGTCCTGCCACCATCTTATTTAAGTTACCATTGAAGGTCAAGGTCACAGGTCAACAGTTATGATCCGATGTTTACTGGTGACAACGTCGCTTCAGAGACCACATATTTCTAATGATCACCTCACTCGGGTGACCACTTTCCTCTATCAACGACCTAAATAAAGAGACCACCTCACTTCAGTTATCACCTTATTTCAGTGACTGATATTCTACAAACAATCTACCCTAACCTAACTAAGGTAGTAGGTATTACGCAGCTACCAAACAGGGAGGTACTACCGCCTGTGAAGATATTGGAAGCATAATGCGTTTATGGTAGACCCTGCTGCCATATGGCATCATGAAAATTGTGACCGAGTCCCAGGTTGCTCATCTGACTTTCTGCTTCATTTACACACAATTGCAGGGTCTCGATTGTTTGTCTTACGATTGACAACACAACATACACATATTGTTTCTCACTTTTGACCTTTTTTAATTTTTGTATATATTTATGGTTCTTTATTATTATTAGTATTATTATTAGTAGTATTAGTATTATTATTATTAGTATTAGTATTATTACATTTTCGCCCCCCAGGCCCCGATGTGGGTCAGTGACCTGTGCCCGGGTGGGCAAATCCCCGTAATGATAATAAAAAAAATAAAAAAAAATAAAAAAATAACCAAAGTATACAGCAGTGGCGAGTTTACAACAAAGCTCAGTATTTGAGTGAGTGTTGCGGAACTTATTTTTTGAAAGTATGAGTATATTTTACCTTTATGTGGTGGAGGTGAAGGCTTCAGTCGAGGGGATTACCTGTACACGGGTCAATACTATCGGTATTTACTAGCAGAAGCTTGCAGCTTACACATCTCAGCGCTCTTTCTCTGATTTTGTTATCAACATTTTCTCAGATTAACACACGATATAGGGTGTCCCAGAAAAATGTCCCTGTCTGCCTCCCTTGCCTGCTTCCTGAGACACTGTGAGTTGGAAGGGGGCAGGGAACAGGCAGGCAAGAAGCAGGCAGGCAGTGAGCAAGCAGGGAAGCAGGGAGCAGGCAGGCAGGGAGGGAGGCAGGCAGGGACATTTTTCTGGGACACCCTACGTACACTGATCACACGCTGTCGAGGTGCTTCGTGTCTAAGTATTAAACTATTGTGTGTGTGAGGAAGTTTAGTTCTCTGTTTGCAGTTATTTTGTTGTCGCGTTCTATACAGGTTACCTTAGTGCTGGCGGTAACTCCTCCCAGATACGGTACCCGGAGAAAGAGTTGCCGACCACTGGGGATTTAACATGTAATATCCGGATTTTGAAGTAACCGATTTTCTGGTTTCCTTGTGAAAAATTTAGGTGAACGAGGTAACAAACACATCAAGAATCCTTACTATATATATTTAACTAGTTGAATGTCATCTTATCTAGGTATTTAGTTTGTGAATTAACTTCTTTGTGTGCACGATGTACGTTAATAAGTCACGATAAGTTGCCAACGACCACCAATCCATATCACAGTCGTCAACGCAGCAACGAGCAAGTTGTGTTGGCTCAGTTGGCTAATACTATTATTGCCTGCCGCCGCGAAAAGCTGAAAACTTATTGTAACGACTGTTGAAGAAACCTAGAAATGCATTCATTATAGGAATCATGGTGAATGTGTATGTTGCCATAATCAACTTTGAAGCAAGATTTTCAATTATAGGTTTGGTGCCACTCAGACATTTTCGTCGATTGAAAAAAGTAATCTAGGGACTCTTAAATTCAGGGTTGTGTAGAATGATAATTAAAGTTACGTACATATTACTTTTAGTCGTATACAAAGAGAGAGAGAGAGAGAGTACCAACTGTGGTTAGTTCGGGTCAGATTCTCACATTCAGAGATATTAAAAATTAATCATCTCAGGAAACATGGGATAATTTTCTCCAGTAGCACATGGATGTCATCTTCCACTAATACCTTTGTCATATATTTAATGTTTTATTTCGTGCTTTATTTTTATTTTTTTATTTTTTTTTGCTATTTTGCATCCTGTTCCTGGTCGTTTACGTTACGTCAATATTACCAGACGCTCGTATGTACAGTACATTATTAACCCCACACACTGCTTTCACATGACGACTAACCATCCTGAAGCGAAGCTAACCTAACCTAACATAACCTAACCTAACCTAACCTAACCTAACCTAACCTAACCTAACCTAATTTAATATAACCTAACATAAGCCCCATATGCCGTTAGGGTGATTAAGCTTCAGAGTTAAGCTGCGGGCAATTCTTCAGGTTAACCCTAAATGAGGTCATTGAGCAGTGAAAGGGTTATTTACAAGTACAGTATCACCAAATCTCCCAGAATACAGTTGAAGTTTATCTCATAAAAGCTATTATTCGTATATACAATCTCTGGTCTGATAGATACTCTGAACATGTGTCAGCTGATTGTTATTACTAATACAAGGCTCCCTGGATGGCATAGTCGACAGCTCTTCTTATTTTTATCATTTCCGGCTCTCAGAATTTGCTAACGGGATCTTTTACATTTCTCTACGCAGTAACAGTGATACGTGGTAGGGGTCACTTACTCTTGCTCCTCCACGCTTACTGTTCACTTTTCAGTTTTAAGTGGTTAATATCCCCCTTTTTTTATCGAATGTTTAGTTTGTTTTATATTGACCACTGATTTATAAGGTTGTATCCTCCTTGGCATTTTTTTCTGTTTTTTTTAGTCACTCATCTAAGTGGACTTTTTCATGCCAACATTACCTGACTTAATCTACCAACAAATCTCACATTTCTGTTTATTTTTTCTTCAGTAATTTATATATTTACTGTTTTAGAGAAAGACATTGAGGACATTGACAGTACAGGCATATAAGAGTGTACATTCTAATGTCAGATTTATTATAAAAATACAATACAAAAATATACGGGAGTTATAAATACAGCTGAATAGTTTTTCGCAAAAGTGCGTTAATACTAATGTAATCATTAACGACATAAAAAGTGTCATACGGGCGTTTAATAATTATATAATAGAAAATATGGCAACAATGCATATATCACAATATTTAATCACAGTATTATGACAGACTGTTACAGAAAGTGAGCCTCATAGAGTTCTGTAATTTGTTGACATTATAGATGTGATTCAAAGCATCATAAGGTTTCAGCAGTATCCTAGACGATGTTCTAAATTAATGCAATTTAACATCCATGAGTTTTATCCTGTTATCATAATCCAACACTAAGTCAACTGCGGTCTGTCACTTATCACACAAGTTAAAATAATCATTGTGTGACGTTACCCTGCAGGTCAGACATTCGTGTTAGTCTAGTTTGTAAACACATCCTTCCCGAACTTGACTGTGACGTTCGGTAAGGAGGAGGTAAGGACACTGGACACGATTATATCCCTCTCGTTACTTTTGTCCTTCAGTGCACACATACTATCCACCATCAGACGGCTTCTTGGATTCTTTTCTTCAAAGTCGAAGAAATAGTCGAGAAAGGCCTCAGGTGTTAGGGCGACGTTGGTGATGGTCAGACTTCGCAGGTGTTCCAGGTCTGTTGTGGGGCCTTTCAGCTTAAGCATTAACTGTTCACTGTAATGGATTAGTTTCAATGACTGTGTACCTTCTTGAAGATCTTTTGAAGTGGCAGATACCTTGACATGTTCCAGGGTATGTGGGAAATTCAGTTCTCCAATGATTGAACACTGAATAAGTTTCAAAGATTTTATCCCAGGTGGGAAACACGGCAGATTATTGATTGTACAGGTATTTAGGACCAGAGTTTCAACACTTATGGGAAAATAATTTTTTTTTAAATCTATATTCTGTAACTCCAGGCTCTTCAGATTAACAGGAAATATAATGTTCCCCAGACCAGTGCACTCTGTTAGCCTTAATTTCAGTAACCCTGGAGGGAGAGCAAGGCGAGTTTTAATATTACATCGTTCAAGTGATAACCACCAGAGAGACTTAGGCCATGACAGAGAAGTGGATATTGCCACATCAGTCAGCCTCAGGTCTGCGAGAACACATTGCCTGTAGGCTTTACTCACTAACTTCAACGCTGCGGCAGCATCTCCCCCCACTGCCTGGTGGCCGCGAACAGGGTTGTCCTCGTCCACGTGGGGACCTTCACTCAGCCTAAGCCAGAGGCGCATTGGCTGAGCTTGTGAGAGTAACAGAAGAAGGGCTTCATTGTGTCGTAGTTCCTTTGGTCGTAACCACAGTTGATTATTGAATTGGGGAGGCGATATCGAGCGCTCGGTTGTAGTATGGGAAGGTGAAGCTCCGTGGGAATCTCCAGGAATTTGCTTGGCAAGAGCCTTAGCGAGGTCTTTGCTGTAGCTGCTTTCTTCAAGAAGTTCCAAAAAGAAATTTATATCATAAAAGTTCACATATCGTTTGGATATTTTTGCTATATCCTGGATAATCCGGGTGTCTACTCGCTCTTTCTTTTCAAACAAAAGACTTACGAGAAATTTCATGATTGATTTTTGTCTGTTCATTTGTAAATCCTTCAAAATATTACTCAATTTAACTTTCTTGTTACTTTGAAGCTTTTCTGTAATGTGGTAAGCTGCAAGAAAGTTAGCATGGGATTCATGAGCAAATTGAAACACATTGTGTTCCCCCATTCCTGTCATGGAACTATCACACTGCATAAGAGTGGAAAGTGCTTCAAGAGGACGAAGTTTGAGTTGCTGGGCATAAATGGATAGTTTTTTTATTTCACTGGAACTCTCACTAAGTAATGGGTAGTTGTGTTTGGCTTCAGTGTAAGCGAGACGAGCTACCTTGCTAAGCCAGCGTTGCCCCTCGCTGGGCAACTCTCCGGCTATGATTCGTTTCCCGTTTATGTGACATAACTTTCTGAGGAGAAAATCTGTTATACTGGCAAATATTTTCCCTCTTGCAGTAAAATTTTCAGCTTCTTTCTCAATCCAGAACCATGAACACCAACACAGGAGTTGTGGAATAGTAATAAGTTCATCGTACGAAGACATCACACTGAAAAATTCCTGCACTTTTTCCGACCCAGATACTTTAAAAAGTTTGGTAGCGTAGGCCAGGGCACTTCTGCGGCAGAAACCATGAGTTGTTACCACAATTGGTTTCTGACAGAGGGCAGTAATTGCTTGAGTGCAGTGAGGCCTTGTTGTAACTACGAAGAAAGCTTTCGAACACGTTCTCTGAAGGTTTTTAAAAGCATTCACGAAGGCTTTAAGTCTTTCGTCAAATGCGTCAATTAAAAACATCACTTTATCTTCAGCCTTTGACAATTCATTGAGAATGGCTGAAGGTCTCGACCTGGAACAGGCGTTTGGCATAACTTCTTGGATTATATCAGGGAGGGTGAAGGTTTTGGTAGTCACGGCTGTACAGTCCAGGAAGATGAGGTAGTCGACGTAACTGAGGGCTAGATTGTTGGTCGGTGTTTTAGCTTCCCAAGCGTCAGCAAAATGACGGAGCAGCGAGGTTTTCCCGGTGCCGGATTCTCCCTCAAGTATGATAATCCGTGAAGACCCAAAGTTCTCCAACAGTTCCTCAGAATCTATTTCTTTTTCCAATCTGTGGACGAAGAACTATACTGAATTAGACACTGAAGACTAATAATATGTATAAAATAAAATTAAAGTGTATCACACACACACACACACACACACACACACATATATATATATATATATATATATATATATATAATAAGGAAAAAAAACACTTCGTGTTTTCTTTTCCTTAATATATACCTGGATCACCACAGTGATTTACTTGCATATATATATATATATATATATATATATATATATATATATATATATATATATATATATATATATATATATATATATATATATTGTGAGGTATAGAAGAAAATGTGAATTTAAGAGAGCGCTACTCACCCGTCATGGAGGACGGTCAGCCTGGTCTTGGTGTAGGTCTTGTTCACGTGGTGGTGGAAACTAAAGCTCCTCCCTCCCCACACGATGGGCATCAGCGTCGTTTTGCGTCCACTTCTGTACAACTCTTTCAGCTCATTCTGGAGGCTCTCTGAGAAAAGGTGAGTTCGTTTTGTATTGAAGATCAATTGATAAAGACATTTGTTGAGTCAATTTTTCTTACAAACTCCATTTTTCATGTTATTATATTTTGACTGTTATTTCCCTTGATTTTTTTTAAATATTAAGGATATAGATTTTAGAAGTATAAGGAGAGATATATTAAAACTGAGATTTTAGAGAAAAGACACAAGCTTGAGGAGCTTGATGGGGCAGAGACGCACGACTCGTAACAACTAGTAAAAAGGCTAACTAATGGTCTATAAATATTATGACTCGATGACCAATAATAAAAATTCATAATTAAAAATAACTTTCAATAGTATGTTCACCGTGTAATGAATACGTGATACATTAACTAGTGCGTCAAACACGGAAGAGGTAACGGACTTGAAACAAACTAGTATTGATAGCAGTGTCGTCATGGTCACATTATGACAATCTCGCACTTGTGACACACGTTATCTCGTAAACAAACGTATGAAAACTTAGTGATGCCAATATACTCCAGTATTCCATAAGACCTATAAATCCCACACCTTAAAACGAGCAGCAGCAGAAGCATTGAGCAAATGTTGGCATATTTTCACTCAATACTGAAACGTATTTGAGAGCTGTGTCAGACGAACGTTCGCCCTCTTTCTGTTTACCGTGGTACTTTTTAACGATAGGAGCCCCAGAGTCTTGCCCACAACCAGCTACACCACCTTGTCAACCAGACCAGTACTTACCCTGAAGCAGTTTGATGTCGGATGAAGTCTCCTGTTTGGGATTTCTAATGTCCCCCAATTCTTGCTTCACTCTGGGCAGGTGGCTCTCCAGGCCGGCCAACTGGAGAATGTTGGTAAGGGCCTCAGCTAGTTGTTGCCAGGTGTCCTCCAGGTTCTTGTCAGGACATCCTTCCTTTGTCCAGTGGGCGTCTTCGTTCCTTATCTTTCGCAGATTTTCAATGTTGCCTGTAATTATGGTAGAAATATTTTATAAGTCACAGTCAGATTATCTCCTTTAATACCTAATAGTGAACACAATACAGAGAGTGGAGGATATATCTAGCGGTGTTGTTGTTTTGCTTCTCTTGAGATCACATTACATAAACGAGAGAAAAGAAAAAAAACAGTAAATACCACCAAAATAATGTTGAACAGAATATCTCAAAACGACTTTGAAAATCAGTATGAGGCCGTAAGGGGCGGGCCTGGTAGAGTGACTCGATACTTGACGGTGGGCCTGGTGAGGAATGATCCTTTATTTCCAGGTGCATAAATTAATTATACTGAGATATGTAGTGACCTACATATGTGGGGTAAAATACTAAAAAGAACACCAAACAAACCTTTGAAAACCTTACCTTACCTTTCAGAACTTGTAAAAAGGTTACAAAATGCTTTCAAGTTTGTGTTCCTCCTCATCTGAACACCGAAAACACCACCATCACATACTTAGCACCGAAAACACGAGTGAGGTAAGATTTTCATCGTATTAGTGTATCTCTCACCTTCTAACCGGGTAAGGTCTTTCCATGAGCTCTTCTTCGTTGACAGTCCACACCCGTACCGTAACAGCAGGTTGAGGGCCGTCATGTCCAGCTTACCCGGTATGTTCGCTTTAATCTTCTTCTTGAGCGAGAAGTTCTGGTTGAGGTAAGCAGAGGCTCCTTTGTCTGCAGAAACGACCTCGTAAGGCGTCTTGCCGGGGTAGTTCTCACTGAACCTTTGGGGGTAAAATACACATGTTAATGCCCAATAGTAAAGAGACACAGCAGTCTTTCTTCAGCATCTACACCTGTGGTATGTTCTAAGTGTTGACACCGCTGTATGAAGTTAAGAAGTTGTTGTCTTTACTTTTAGGTTCTTCAACTATCAGGATTATTAAGTGTGGGCCTTGTCTTATTTGTTACAACAGAAGAATGTTAAAATTGAGAATTCTAACATTCATTGATCAGTTTCTTTTTATTGATGGATTTAAACTTCCAGGGTTATTTTTCCACAACACACAATGCTATCACAAATTATCTCTGGCTCGATAAGGTAGTGTAACTTTAGAATGTGTTAAAACACTACTGGAGACTGGTAAACTCACCCTAAACCACGACAATAAAACAGTAATATATCAGTTGGTTAATATTAATAAAACAATATTACGACATTACGATAATCTGTTACCATTAGAACCGTGTACAGTATTATGATAATATTGTGGTAATACTTTAAGTTGTTAATATTCCTCAATCTAGTATTTTATATAATAATGAAATGTTAGGATTATTATAGTGTATTATAAGCTTGGTGAGGCTCACACATACTCACAGTTTTTGATAGAGGAGAGCGAGTGTGTCCCGGGCTGTGGTCTTTAGGGCCTGGCTGATGGCTTGACGTAAGCCCACCGTGTCCATTGATAGTCCCACCATTATCACGGCTGAAAAATGGGACTGCTGTAGTGAAGAGTGTTATGGCTACACACACACACACACACACACACATTTATACATTATACAGGCATGGTCTATATTTACTACATATATACCTCCCACAAATTCCGTTATCTGCCGTCTCCATTAATATTGGTACTTAATTCTGCATAAAAGAAATCGACTTAAATTTGTTTCATTTATAACGGATTCTGGCTGACTCGGGGCATACATAAACGCATTAACACTGTCTGCTTTCTTGACTACCGCTGACTCAGTTTTCGGTGTTATGAAGAGGTGTGTGGTGGATGAAAAGCAGTACTACAGCACCTAAATTGGGCATTTTCGTGTATTTACAGACACGTTTAAAAGGTTGTTAATACAGACATAGAAAGACGGTATGATTTGACGAGTAGGCAAGAGATATATCCCTGAAGGATTTTATGATTGTTCAATTTATCGTAACATCAGTAACATTGGGTGTGTGGGAGGTGATTATGACACTATATTGTTTACTATAAGTCTGGAGTGTTATTACCAGAGGAGCGACGTCAGGTGTGATCAAGGATAGTTTCGGGAACAATCATTACTTACCTGTGGCGAAGGTAGTGGTAGGTCAGGTAGGCAGATCAACACGTAATTATTTCACAAGAAGATCTGGTAGTATATCAACACATTAACTATACAACGTAGAGTAATGTGTTTGTTTTATAATCAAGTTCTCTGTAATCCTATTAGCATAAACCTCTGTATGCTTCACTGATGTGTATCGCTTTCGCTTCAGTATAAGAATGTGTAGTCCGTCAGCCGACCCCACGTATTTATGCCTCGTCTCGGGTGACATGATTTCTACTTGTTATGCTCCCGTTTCTCTCCGTCAGAACGAATCTTGTTAAGTTACTGCACCAAACGTATTTGTGTGGCGGCCGCTGACGACACCACCAACACCTGCACCGCACATATCTGATATCCGCTGTGACTGAACCTCGCTATCTTATCTATTTATAATGCGGGCGCGTGATCATGAAGATAACCAAGGATAATTAAACAAATTCGTATTTAATACACATTATGCAATCAATGAATTATCTAAATTAGACAACAATTTAATTCGAAGAACTGTGATCGTTGCCGGGAAGTAAACAACACCAGCGAGCAGCAGTGGTGAGGTGGTGAGGGCGGCGCTGACGTCATGTGAAGGGTAACTGTACTGAACGTGTGCTTGCTTTCACTCTCTTGTTCGATCGTTCACTCATTCTCTCTAATTTTTCCTCAGCAGTGAATCTCTTTCTCTTTTCTCTCTTTTTCTTTCCTCCGTCAAATGTGTATGTGAAAATAACTAAAGGGAAACAAACAAGATTCTCGACAGAAAAAAAAAATTATATTTCAAGTTGTTCACAGAGTACAGTAGTAATGTATAACCGTGCTTCGTCGCTTAGGTCTTTAAACACGGAACACAAGGTCGGTTTCTGCAATAGACTCGACGTAAAACTTAAAAAAAAACAAAAACGAGGAATATGTATATTGTTTGCTGACTGGGTGACGCTCCATAGTACTCCTGACTGACCACTGTCGCTGTCACAGAGGCGTGAGTATGTACGTTGGTTGTGTATGTCGATGTGTGTACGAGTCTAACAACTATATGTGTGTGTTGGATATTTTTGATACTTTGCAATCCATATGTGTTTTTTTTTCTCTCTTTAGTATACGGTGTATTGTTGTACGCTCTTTTGACAACCAGAGGCTTCAGAAAACGGAGATTCTCTATGAACGTCCTCAAGGTTAGAAGAGTTGCCTGACACTCCCATCACAACTTCACATCATTGTCGATCGTTCGCACTGATCTGACCCTTGTTTTAAGTTTTTTTTTTATGAAAATATCGACGAGTTCAGTAACAAAAAATATTTGATAATTGTAATGGACACGCATCTACACTCAGCGTGAACACAACCATAAGAGATTTCACAACATTAAGCCATTCGTAGTGGAAAAACAAACTGTCGTCATCTAAACTTTTCATGAACTTACAAAACTATAATAGTGATGATAACTTATAGTTCAGCTGGTGTGTCCGGGGAGTCCTCAACCCTCCCTTCACACCTGACCCTAGATCACGACAGTGTAGTTATAAAAAAAATTGTCCCCTGTAATAACCTCCAGACAGGCAAGAGGTGTGAAGTGGGACAATTTAAAATACGGATATTAGTTACCTGTAGTATAGGTGGTGGCAGACAAGTTGATGTAGCAGCTGGTAACAGGATCAAACCACAACAACTGTACAATTTATAAGAGTGGACTGAGAAACGGTTTGTAAGTTAGTAGCTAGTATTATCACACGAAGTTGTTCACCTCAGAGACCACACAGACAGAATAACCTGAGTGTATCCCTTCAGGTTTAGAATTAGTTTGGGTCGTCCTCTAGCCTCCCCCACTACTTATACCGCGTCCTGAGAGTCATGATTCCTACAGGTTGTGCTTGCGTCCCAACTGTTTCTACCAATACGTTTCCGCACGTTTTTGCAGCGTTTTCTGGCGGATCACCACCCCCCCCCCCTCTTCTACAATCCAATGTTCGATACCGCTCTCCTACCTGAGTGAAACACGAAAGCTGTTAACTAAATTACTGATGCCCGAAGAAACAACACAACGAAACTTTGAGCTCCATAACCAAGGAAGGCAACAAGTCTGACGCAACACAAGCAATACGTAATAGACCATGGTTGTGGATGACGACGTCGGTTGCATAAAACGTTTCTGAACAGTTGTCGATACGAATTATTACATTTCACTGTTTTTCCTCCTTTTTGTTTGTGCCGTTATATCACCTTTATATTTAATTCATATCTTCGTATTCTTTCATTACTTTATTATTTTACAAGTTTGTGTATTTGATTAGTGTTTTTTCTTCCACATTACTTACTGTATTATCAATCACTCTTACGTTATCGCGCGTCATGACCTCTGAGCTACAGTTAATAGCGACTCTCTCGTATCCATTTAATACCTTGTTCCTGCTACCACTCTTTCTATTATAAATTTCTGTCTCACATTCCATCGTAAAGTTATGACAATTATGTCCGCGGCAGAAAATAGTGGCATATGACAATCCATCGCCTTCAGTGTCGGTTGAGTTGCCAGACACTCCTATCACTTGCAACCCTCACTGATATTATTTGATGGGGATTTTGGTCGAGTGTACTGAACTAAGGTGTCAGGTCTGTGTATCGAACTCATAATCGTAATCTTTAGCATCACGGGTTATGATTCTCGTTCAATCTATATCATAAAAATAATGACATGTTCATTAATCAGAACACACTGATGAGTATGATTTATACAGTACATTACACAAAACAGTTTTAAGGCAGAGAAAAAAAAACACTTAAACAATAATCTCAGGGTGTTTCTTTCTCGCAGACATAATAGAAGATACAACCATAATCTCCTTCAGGTAGTGTGGTGCTCACTCTGATATGTGAGTTTACTAGTACGTAAAAGCCAGGAATGAAAGCGTAATAAACACTTATATCTTGAAAAAAGTCGTCAGTGTGAACCATAATTAATTGTATTTCCCTGTCCACTGAGACACAGCTTCTCGAGAACACTAAGAAAGCCTCCCTTGGTGGGGGTAAGTACTCGCGGTGGTTACTTTAAGCTGGATTAGGTTGGGGGTAAATGAATCTGTCGACAATGAAGTGTACAAAAAATTATCAGCAAGAATACACGCATAAGACTTTGTACGTCTGGCAGTGCAGATTCGAGAAGCACTATAAATTAATTATCTGTTGTACCGTATTTCTCTCAACTCTGCTCTGTTCATGTCTAGCAACCTTGCTGAATATCGAGTGGTTTACTAACCTGTCGCCAGGAAACACTAACCACAAACATACTCACTACATTAAGTTCACAAGACTAAACTAGTTACGAGGCTCTTCACTGTTCAGTTCTCCATTGTACATTAATACTGACTTTGTAATTTTGTTGTGTATGCGTGAATTCCTTGAGAATTGAATCAAAGTTTAAAGACTTATTAGTCATTAAACATGTGGCTAAATACACTCCCATGCAATACAGAATCGTTTTACAACACTGAACAGTAATCATAACACTGTTATAGTGTACATTAACCTTGACTATTAAGATAGTAAGAGTGATCAGGTGTAAATTAAAAGTGTTTCATGTACAGTCATTGGTTACCTGTGATGGCAGAGATGTCCGCCTCTCAGCACCTATTGTTCCCCTAGAAGAGAAAGATGTACAATAAGTCGATAGTAACTCGCCAAGACGTTCACTGAGTAATGTCTGATTATTATTTCTTTCACCGATTCCACAAGATTAATTAACCGTTGAATTCCTCACTTGAAGAGTAAATGATAATCATCGTCTAAGCTTCTGTAAGAGAGTGTCGTCATGCATCTGTTCTGGACTAAATATTTACACCACTCCCAGCTCCTCCTCCGTCAGTTTACTTTAGTCTCACGTTTCCAGCAGCAACGTTTTGTGGCGACCGCTTACACCACCACCTGTAGCTCACGTATACACATGAGTCACGCTGCCTTATCTACAGGTTAAGCTCCCGTGGATGTTGATCATGAATGAAACCAGAACTAGAATATAAAACATGAATATTATGTAATATATATTTATATATTAATTTTATATGGAAAATTTAATATGAAATTTGAGTATTACTGCAATAGAAGGATGGATTAAGTATTCAGTTATTACGTGTTGTATATGTCTTGAGAGATAAAGAGATTAATGTCATTGTTGTACATAGTTCGTTACATACAAATTCACGATATTAACATAAGACCATAAGATAACATAATACGCTCACTTCTTGAGCCGTTCACAGGTCACACACACACACACACACACACACACACACACACACAGGTAAGTGGCCTCGTTAACCATGGTGGCTGCTCTTTGACGCGACCCATCATTTTGGCGATAACATGTTTACTAAATTTGGACACCACAGAGAAGGTCACTCACTGGCTTGTTGCAGCGAAAACATCGGAAGGACATAAAAAAAAAAGTCGATTATGTTCTAGGTAGGGGGCAGGGCAAGGGATGGGGGGGTGGTAGATAGGGTTAGTGGGGAGATAAAAATAATGACAATAACTCACATAAGGATCACGATTCACCTTTATCAGACTGTTGGAAAAAAGAAAACACTCTAAAACACTTACCGAGTAGCGTTGGATCTCTTAATGGTCAGTCATCCTACACTGACTCCTTAACATTTGTCTCTAACATAGTGTATAACGTCTCTCTTTAGACACACACACACACACACACACATACGTACACACACACACACACACACACACACACACATACACACATACACACACACACACATACACACACAGACACACACACACATACACACACAGACACACACAGACTTACAGTACAACCTTAGTCTATTTCTCTAGGGATCAACCTTACCTCTCTCTCTCTCTCTCTCTCTCTCTCTCTCTCTCTCTCTCCTGATTATTTTATAGGCTATAGAACACCATAAAATCAAGTCGTTAAGCTAGTTTGTTTACGCCGACTCCATGGAAAGCCGTAAGAAAGACATTAAAGACAGTTTTACGTCACTATACCTGGGTGTGTCGCTCAATGCCTGAACGAAAAGCCAGCTCCAAAGAACTATTTTTTGGGGGGTGGGGGATGGGGGTGGGGGAAGGGGTGGGGGAGGGGGTGGGGGTAGGAGGGGTAGGGGTGGAAGCGGAAAAGGAGGTTGTTCTGAGTGATGAATAATAGTCGTTAAAGTCTTCGGATACTGAGAGTGAAAATTCTTACGGGAGAAACAGTTGGGGAGGTCAAAGGTCAACAAGAACTTGGATCAGTATGCATTATTAGAGATAAAAAAAAAGAGAGCACAAATCAGTGTTGCAGTCAAGGGTTGTCAAGAAACGGTGGAAATGTAACCTGAAGTCTCTCT